CTGTAACATTTTCACTTAACTAGACAATACATATTGCGGTCAGCCATATCAGTTTTTTTTTATTTAAACATAAATGTTTAAATAAAAAAAATCTGGGCGAAATGTTTTTATATAATGGGTTACTGTCAAAGGTTATCAAGTCTTTTAAAAAAAATTATGTTGTGCGTAATTCATTGTTTTCTAAAATATTGATGCTACTTAAATTTTAAAAATTTACACAACACATCAAACATTTTTCATAATTTTTTTTTCACGTGGAGTTCACTTGAATTAAAAAATAGAAACCTGTCCAGTTTCCATTAAAGAAAATTCATGAACAATATTTAAACGTCGATTTACTTTAAAGTTTAACAATATAAATCGAATTTTTAATATTTTTAATCAAAAAATAATTGAAAATTAATCATTGAAATCAACATATTCGTCATTAAAATAAGTGGTGGTGCTTTGTCTATCAGTTTATTGTTACTAAAATAAATGTCCTTTATATATTTTAGCACATGCTTCTACTCTAAGTATAATCATATACCCGAGCCGATAACGATAGAGAAGTTCATTATCTCTATATATAAAGATATTAAATAATAAATTTGATTATAGATCATAAAAAATTTTTGTAGAATAATAAAATAATTTGAGGATAAAATATACACACATTAGAATTATTCTATAATACGTCATAAAAATTAATGTACATATTTATAATAAATAAGTGATAATTTAATATTGTAATTGCAATAATAGCGAAAATTCTATAGACTGTGTTTTTCAGATTCTTATGGAATATAAGTGTTTTTATATTAAGTAAAAAACATTTCTAACATTCTAATAACATTAAAATAATTTTTTATTCCTTTGTTAAGAATGTTAGCCATACATTTTTAATTTTTAGACTGTAAGACCGAATTTGGCTTTTAAAAACATTTTTATTTGTTAAACTTATAAATTTATTAATTTCAGTTATTGCTAGAATGGAAACTCAAAAATTTGTTTTTTAATTCTAAAATCGTATTTAGAAGGGCAAATAATTTATAATTATTTTTCTATTCGTTAATTTTTCATTAGTTTTGAAAAATTTAACCAAACTCACTTTTCTTGCTTTAATTGTGATTTGCATATATCGAAAACATTTATTGCAATAACCAAAGAATTAAATAAAATCGTCACTGTTACTAAATACAAAAAATTTTTAAACATTTTCTCACATTTTTATTACACAAGAATATTAATTCATTATTTAAATTGAAAATAACTTTACAAACAAATTTATAGAAATAATTTTTCGGCGTTAAAATTTGAATTTTGTATATATATAGAGAAAGCACCTCTTTTATTAAAAACTCATATCGAACTAGTCCAAAAAGCAAAAACATAAATTTATTCATGAAACATTCTAATATTGTTAAAATAATGTACAAAGTAATCTGTAAACAGTATCACTTGAAAATTACATGTTTGGCATATTTATTACACATGCTATTTTCAATGATAAGATAATAAGAGTGATAAAAGGATTTCCTTATGATAAAAAAAAAGGAAATTAATCGTTGCATTTACAAAAAACCATGGGATGTACAAGTTTTCCAATAATATTTAAAATTTCAAATGACATCCATCAAATTTATCACGCTGATATTCCAAACTCAATCGTAATACTGTGCAAATTATAGGCATATAAAGTTGCAACAGCTCAATGTCCAACTCCATTTTTTTAAAGTAAAGTTTTAATGAGTTTATAACAATTTTCTAATTTTTTTTGAAAATTCTCCTGATTTTTTTTTCAATATATATTTGGTACATTTCATTCACTGTCACTTTTTCAAAACGTAATATTTTAAAAGGAATTTGAAAATTTTATTAAATATTGAAATTAATTTTGAACACCAATTACAAATGAGAGTACATGTTAATAACACGTTACAAAAATGGTAGACAAAGCATGAAAATAATATCTGTACCCAAAATATTCCAAAAAATATTTTGCCTTATTTAAAACTTGTATACAAACATTCTATAAAAAATATTTCGTGTGAACACATACGAGTACTATGTATACATACAAGAGGAGACTTTAATACACCGATAATTTATAAGATAAAATTATTTATTTCTATATTTAGAATTGTATAATTAAATTGCATATGTTTTTGACAAAATCTAGCCAAATATATTTTTGATTAAAAACCAGATTAGTCAATTGAAAGTCAAAAATTTGAATAACACTCACACAAAATGTTTTAAGCTTTAAATTTGTTAACAGTTTTTCAATATTATTTCAATATTTAAAATTTGGAGAATTCAAATAATCTTGTAACTTATTTTTGTGCTAAGTAATTCATTTTTTTTTTTACTTCTGGTTACAGGACCCTATTTTATTGAAGGCTAAAAATTCCGGTAAACTTTTATCATCTTTCACATTAAGGTATTCTGGTCCTTATTAATATAGAAAAAAAACTGCTTTCTAACTTCGGTAGTGTAAATAAAATTACATTATTGAAAACAATCGACTATATTTTTGCAGTATTCTTGTAGAAATTGTGCAAGTGTCAATCTTATGTTCATTATAGTATTTTTTTATTGAAAATATTGCTCATTTTAAAATTCGGCTATAGACTCGATATTCAATTTGTTTGGATTCAATAGTAAAATGCAAGGAAGTTGACTTAGCAATAAATTAAAATTGAAAAGAAAAAGAGTTCTAACTAATAAATTGCTTTTCACGAAACGTATACATCTAAAAAATTTTGATAATGTTAAAAAAATATACACAACAGAAAAATAATAAAAAGAACTTATATTTTGAATCGGAAATATACACAAAATGTATACAAAAAATATTTATCTGTACAAACTACAACATAATGATATTTCGTAGACATTAACTTCAAAGCAAAACCTACTTTTGTAGTACATTACCGAAAACTACAATTTGTAGAAATATATCTTAATGGAATAAAAGAATATATTGTGTAAATATTTATGTAATATATTTAAAAGAAGCCCCTTAAATTTCAATCAAACACATATAGCGTTATAAGCATACCAAACATATGAATTAAACCGGAATTCTAACAATATAGTAATTGAAAAACAGCCTATAATATTATTTACGTTTTCGTTCGAAAATTAAATATCTACACTTAAAGAATCCTATACAGTGTTGTTAGTTTCAACTTGTTTTTCAGTAGCATTTTGTCTTAAAAAAAGTAGTACTCGTATGGAGAGCTTTAGCGTAGTTATTTGGTGTTATCATTAACATCAAACAAAAAGTAGGTACATTTTTTTTCTGTCGCTTTTTTTTAATGTCATTTTCAAGTGTGTAAAGCGCGAAATTAAACATTAACAATATAAATTTTTTTTGGAAAATAATTTTGAATTTTAGAAAAACAAAAACTATACATAAGAAAAGTACTTTTAGGTCTCCGTCACCTTTTTTTTTGGAAACTACATTTGTATAAAAAATTAAAAACCTTTTGAAAAAATGTGTCATTCATAAACTGACACACGCTTGTCGAATTCATTTTTGTTTGAAATTGATTTCAAATCAAATTTCGTTTATATAAAAAATTACATTTTTTCTCAATTTTTTAAATTCTAAGAACAACAAGTGCTGAATCGAATTTTGTAATGAATTACGATTTTACGGAATTATATTCAAAACAAATTCAATAAATTTCATATTAAAAATGATAACTTTTCTTTAATATGAAATTTTAACGTTAAACGTTTTTTTCGTCATATCGTTTTTCAAACTAAGTTTTAAATTTAATTTTTTCTTTGTTGTTCAATTGGTTTTTGTAACAATACAATAATGGCATTTTCATAACAAATGCAAATAATGACATTTTCTGTATAAAGGCAAAAAAGTAGTAAAAATGGCTTGGCAGTAGTATAGTAGTACGAAATGCCAAAATGTAGTAAAATACTACAATTGTAGTAAAATTAACAACAATGATCCTATAATTAATTCGAATAAATATTAAATATAAAAACATTATTCGGAAGTTCAGTATCGATTTATTATTTTATTTTAATAAATACAACCTTAAATAAAAAAAAAAAGAGAAAATTAAAATCAAATTAACATTATAAATTAATATTAGAAACTTGTAAGTTGTGTTCAGCTTTTTATGACTTAATATTTAAATATATTTAAAATTTCTTATATTTAAGTAACATTCACTTAAATCGCTTACAATTTAATACAAATAAAATTAATTTTTATTTGTTTTTGTTATTTACCTCTTATGTTTGTTTTTGTAATTTATTTATTTATTACTAATTATATTTATTATCTATTTGCAAATATTCATACATATCATGTATACATTTTAAAAAAAAGTATATAATATTATAGAATATTTCTTTAATCATAAAAACTGTATACATATATATGTGTATATATATATATATATGGATAGAAGGTAAATACATAGATTTTAAATAATAATTATATTAGATAGATTGTTTGTGCTTACATTTTAAAAATATATTAGTGAACAAAGTTTGAGTCAAGTTTTTTTTTTTTATTTTGTAGTACATAATAATTATATGTATATGTATATAATATGTATGTATACACATCATAATATTATAAAATTTTTGTTTTAATTTATAAAAACTGTTTATATATATTTTTTTTTAAATAAATTTTTTGTTATAAAGTAAAATACAATTTAAATATTAATACGAACAAAAAAATCTATAAAATTGCATTGATCATTTAGAAATTAGAACTAAAACTTAAAATTAAAATTTAATATTGTATAAAATTATGAGTTTATACAAAAAAAAAATACAAAACAATTAAAAATCACTGGATTTGTCTTATTTTCGATTGTTTATTTCTTAAATTTGATATTTATTTTATTTAATTTGTTTTATTATTATTATTTATTTATTAATATTTTATTACTATATTATGTACTTTAATTTATTATAATTTTTTTTTATTTTTCCTTTATTTTTAATTGTGTTTATTTGTTCTTTCCTTAAGTATGTTTGTTTTTTGTTTTTTATAAGTTATAATTTGTATATAGTAAGTTTCTACACATCTATAAATATATTATATTATATATTAAAGGTTTACAGATAGTTTACATTATTTTTGTTTTATTGTTTAAAAAAAAATTACAGGAAGTTTTATTTTGATTAATATATTTAATTTTTCTTTAATTTATTTTTAACAATATTCATTAACCCTTTCGACCCAGCTTTCGAGTAGTGTAATTAGTACATGTTTCACATTATCTATATATGTATATACAAAAAAAAACTGTCTCTGATGACAAAAAGTCGCATTAAAATTTAGTGTGCTGAATCATAAAAAAACGAAATGGTACAACAGAGAACCAAAAACAATGGTACTTTTAACTTTTAGGGATATTTGGACGTTACTGGTACATATGTGTGCCAGCTGTGTCGAAAGGGTTAAAACAAAGGTAAAAACAGAAAATTCGAAATGCAATCTAATTTATTTTTCGAAAAAGCAACTAAAATTGGGTAAAAGAATGATTTTTTTTTTTTGAAAAATATTTTGTGATTAATTTTTCGTAAATTGTATTGCGCATAATTTTCCGTAAATGGAATCCTTAATTATTTGAGAATTGAAAGATAAATATTTCAATTGCATATATGATTAAAATTTTCATTGAAAATTGTTACTGGGTATTTTTACTTTGAAAATGTAATTATAACCACAAATATTAAAAATTATTTTAAGATTTTTCAATCAAAAAATCAAAACAATTTTTGCAAACATTTCGTAACAGGCTTATGTTCAATTCCGACACAAACAATTTTGTAATTTCGATATTAAAAATTAGTGATTGATTAAATTTGCTAAAATAATTTTTGTATTTAGACGAAATTGTCGACTTTTATTAAATTAATATTATATTGTAGCTTCATCCTTAATATATTCGCATTTGAATGCTAGATATAATCCGATAAAATTCTAGCGTTCATATTTCAATTTAAGAAAATTATTTGAAAAAACGATTGCATCTCTAAAATTAAAGATTCTTAAATTTTTTTATTTTAATTAAAATTTTAATTAATTTTTCCAATATATTTTATTGTACTGAAAATTAATTTTAACTATATTGTTTGATATTTTTATTAATATATAATTTTCCCTTTTAAACTTCTTTAATCTTTTACTGTTGTTCTTTTTTACTATAAATTAATTTTTTTATGCCTCTTTATTTACCAATAAATTACAATATTTATTATATTATATAATATTAGGTGTAAAACTAATTTTTGCAGTTATACATTAATTATTAAAATTATTAATATTGTTACATTAATATTAAAATTTTTGAGTATTTTTTTTGTATTTTTTTGTCAATTTTTTTCCTCTTATTTTTTTGTAATATTTTATTTTATTGAACGAAAAAATTTTATTTTAGTATTTGTTTTTCATTTTAAAATATAAATTTATTATGTATTTATATTTAAATTTTGTTTTATAAATTAAAAAAAAAAAACGCTACATTTTTAAAGAAAAAAAAACTACTAAATAATTTGAATTTTATTTATTTACACGTGTGCTCTTCAAGCACTTTAACACAAATTTCGCATTTAACCTGGCAACACCAATGGAATTTACAATTACAACGTTCTTTAACAATTATATTTTTTGTATTATATCCTCTTCCACAACATAAAATTCCGCATCCATCAAGTCCTGATGAAGTTTTATTACAAACTCTTCCATGAGTACCTAAAATATAAAATAATTATTTATTTTATTTTATTTTACATGCTTAGCTCAAGCGCATATTACAATATAATATACACATCAATTTACATATTTAAACTTATTTTAGATTTAAAATAAAGATAATGCAAAAAATTACAGATATTCTAAAATTACAATACATGTATTATTATTAATTAATCGTCTAGAATCGTCTTATAAATTAAAATCCTCTAGAAAAAGGATCAATTATCTATAAGAAAATAAGTGTTTTTTTTATAGTGTCCTTTGAAATCAAGTATCTTCTTAAACTTGTTACACAGGTTCAACATTCTACTGACAGGTTCGTTTTTCCCATAATTAGTTTTATGAAATGGAACTATAAAAAAATCAGGAGAAAGAGACCTAACATTAGAATCGATGATGATCTTATTAAAAATATTGGGAGAGATCAAATCAGATTTCATATGTTGAAAAATTAATATCACGGTTTTTACTTAAAGTGGGTAAGTTAATCAATTTAAGTCTGTCCTCATAAGGAGGAAGAAAAATGGGATCCTTCCATATTCAAGATAGGAATGAACCGGAGACAAATATAGGGACTTCAAAATTTAATAAAACAATATATTAATAATATTACTTAAAAAAATGGGTTTTAATTATAATTTATAAATACCCGAGGAACTATATATAATATGAACAGTATTAACAAACACAAGTAAAAACGTTCCAATCAGTATAAACCGACCGAATTATACTCTGCACCTTGGTAATCTGAGTTTAAAATTTGTTTTTCAAATATCTAGAATTAGCTTTTATTGTTGTATACCAAGTATTCGAACATGTCAAACCACTAAAGAAACTGCAAGAATATGTCTGACCTAAAATTGGACATGCAATTGCCAAGTTTCATGAATCTAACTTTATTGATTTCCCAAATAATTAAAATTTGCTTTTGGAGTTGTATGGCAGCTACCTGAATTAGTCAAGTCATTCAAACAAAACTTCATGAACATTATCTAACCTGAAATTTGACGCCTTGGCGCAGAATTACCGTCAATGGAACAACTTGTGAAAATTTGGTGTCGATTGCGTTATTCGTTTTTGAGTTATTGTGCGATCGGACGGACATAGCTAAATCAACGCAAAATTTTACGCTGAGCAAGAATATATATACATTTTCATACCAGAGGCGACTTCTTCATGCAGTTACAAACTCCATACCAAAGTGAATTATACCCTTCGCAAAGATGCAAGGTATAAAAATAACAACAAGGATTGTGAATTTCGTTTCTGAAAAGGGAAAATTATTTTCCCTTAAATAATTTCTCATAAAAAATTTACTAAAACAAAAACCATTTACGATTTAACTTTATCATATACACTTACCAGGCCATTGAAGTTGTTTATTATTTCTACACCAATCAGGACTTTCATCTAAATAAACTAAATCATGTGCTGTTGGTACTTTATATCGTGGATCTTTGATTTGTAAACGACCACGTTTATTTAATTTTACTTCGGTTGCTGCATCAAATTTTTCACGCAAATAATCACCTGAGACACAAACCAATTTATTAATATTAAAAATTATTTAAGGTTTTTGTCAAAAATAATAATAATTATTTAAATATGTATAAAATACGATAATACAATTATTTTACGATATAATTACATACCAATTTCACGTATTGATGACAATTGTTGCCAACATGTTATCATACTGCATGAACCAGATACACCGTGACATTTACATGTAATTCTTGTTTTTTTAATAACGGCCTAAAATTACAAAAAAAAACAAGAAATTGAGCTCAAATTCCGATGCTACAGAACTGAATGTAATTATATTTATTAAGAAATATTAATTAACATTAAATAATTATAAAATATTTTAATATTATTAAAATCAAAACTAGCGAAAACTTCTGTTTCAAGAAAATTAATTAATGAAAACAACTATAAACACCGCTGGGCACATTTTAATCATAAATATTAAATTAGAATTAAAAAAAATAGAGTGCTATAACAATGATTTGAAGTGACATAAATTTAATATAGGCATGTTTGGGGAAGAGGTCGCTAAAAACTATATGAAAACATTATTTCCTATAATATTTTGTTTCCGAAATATTTTTATGTATAAAGGATATGTAAATAACATGCACATTATTCCTTTCACAATTTTCATATAGAATAAACAATTTAATTCCCTATACCTATCACTATAAAGCAGCCAAAACAAAAAAAAAATCCTCTATATTTTTTTTCTATATATAATTGGGAAAAAAGGAAAAATTAAAATAATTGAAATAAATAACGGTTAAAGACCTTAATATAAAGTAATGAATATTCCCCATTACTTTTTAGAAGGCAAAAAACTCTTCCACTTCAAATATTTGCACTACATAATTATACACGTATGTATGGATGTGAATATACCCATTGTGTCAAATATATGCATATGTGAGTGTTTGAACAAAAATAAATGATTTCTTCCAAAAAATACACTTGTAATATATTCACACTTATATCCATACATACATGTATATTTCTTATTTTTATGCATTTATTATATGAAGTACTACTTACTGTACAACTGATCTTAAGAATTCAATATAAAATATTTATATTTTGCACCCTAAAATAATATTTTGATATATTGTCCTATATTTTTTTTTGGAAATTTATATTCAAATATTTTAATTTTAATTTTAATAACAGAAATTTTAAATATCTATCGTTTTAGTACTCATAAATACAATATAATAGTACATGTATGTATGCAAGTAGCAGTTGTATAATATTTTGTACTTGTATATTATAATATGAACATACATACATCCACATATTATATATTAATTCATATTTTAATGATTATCCTTAAGTACTAACCTATTTTATTTTGTTCATAAATATTTGTGTGCCTAAGCAATATGTAAAATGAAATGATGCCAATGATATAAATCCCCAATTAGATAAAGTACATTTTTATGCAAAGTATACATTTTAATAATTTTGGATTTTAAGTGATTAGTAATCAAAAATCTGAAAAATGTTAAGTAAGTGCAAGAAAAATCTACATTATAATTTTCACTACAGTGTCGAAAATTTATTACTTCTGTTAATTAGATTCAAGTTTATAAAATAACAGCGTTTTTACTGTAGTGGTAACAAAATTTTTAAAAAAACCAAATTATTGGAATTTATATTTTACAAAATTTAGTTTGTAAATTTTGAATATAGGGGTTTCTAAAAATGTAATTTTGAACGCCAGAATTGCTAGAGTTTTAAGATTAATTGCACAATGAAATGTAGTGCATTTAAAGTTTTCCAAAGTTTGGCATTAAGAACTGCATTCTGAAAATCATTTCTTATTTGTATTTGACTTGCTGTTGATAAATAGAATTATAAATTGAGTACGGGCAAACAAAATTGGGTTCTTCATATTTTTTTTAAACTAACTGCAACGCTTTTAAAAGTTTCATTTACATATATAAATTAAATGTGTATATCGACAAATGTCTGCTCTGGGACTGCCGACAAATGTTCGCTACCTTAATTTGAGATTGGCGCTTTTTGGATCTCATTTAATTCGGGAACATAATTCTCATGGAGTTGGAAAATTTGAGTGCTAGCAACTCTTGTTCGAAAATTTTAAATTGTTATTTGAAAGGATATGAACATAAAATAATAAGAGGGTTAATACCGCAGGAAGAATTCAAGACCATGACGCGATAATTTCTCCTTCCCCGTTATTAGAAAGAAAAATGCAATAATACTAAATTGAAATTGTATTCTATGGAAATGCCAAACACTTTACAACTCATCACAAGATAACATTATCCACGAATTAATCAAGTCAATTAATTGCATTTATTTGAATAAAAATTTTTATTTAATTTATGTAATTTTTAACTTTCTTATAATATATTATATGTGTGTATATATATCTATCGGTGTATTATAAAGACACTACCACTATTAATTAATAAATAAGGAAAAACCTAACTATTTTTTTTATCACTATATAGAGCAACGTGCTATCGAATTTTTTTCTTTCTAATTGACCTACTAAAATTATATTCCATTCAAATATTTTATTCCAATTATGCAAACCATACATACATACACATACTAATTAAGTCAAAAGCCAAGATAAAATTTTACAATACAAGTAGACGTTTATTTTTCAATTTATTTACCAAAAAAAAAAAATTAAAAGAAATAATAATGAATCTCGAAAAACCCCTAAAAATTCACAAAAATCACATCATTTCATCATAAAATTTGAACTACATATATTTACATATATATATTTTTATAATATTATATAATATATATTTGTTTGCATTATGCATGTTTACAAATATATATATACATTCGGTGAATGCATCGGCAAGTGCATAAAAATACTCATATATGCCAAAAAACATGCTCATATTACACGTTCGGGTGCTATTATGAATATTTAATTTTGACAAATATACATAAGTTTTTATTATTATTTGTATATAGTATATTATGTTTGTGTATATATGTGTGGATTTACATATTCATATGTTATACCCATTCATTGCATATATATAGGCACATATAACTTTCTAGGTCATTTTGAAACTTATTTTTCATCATTTCTAAATGTTATTCATTTATGAAATGTGTTCAAATTTTTTTTTATTCATTAATAATAGGGTAAACATAAATTTGAATGAATCCTTTATCTTCTAAGTTTTGATAATTTTCTGTACAGTAGATTTATTTATTTTTTTCTCAAGTTAATTTTGAATCATAAGTTTTTGTTGATTTGGATTAATTTTGTTAAAATAAAAGATAATTTTTAAGTGGTAGGACATTAGTATGTGATATATTCATTATGTATGTATATAAATGTATACATTTGGATGTATAAAATGGTGCCATACTACTATACAACGGCACCATTAAAAATTCAAAAATAGAAAGGTAAAATTGCATTCATAATCTTAACAAATTCATAAATTAAAATTTTCAAAAAATTTTAAGTAGTATAGTAAATTTATTATGTAGTACTTATTGTTCATAGTATTCTGTTATAGTAATTTATTGTAAATTAGTATATTCATATACACTATACAAATTTGAATGATTGCTTTCAAATTCAAAAGTAAAAAAATTTATATTTTAGCACTCTAGTTCATATATATAATATATAATAATTTATTTTATTCAATTATTTTATAATTTTGGAATTCAAGCCAAATATTTAAGTAATGGCGAGCCATTGTTCATATTTATTATAAATAATTGAATAAAACCAATTAAATTATTCAAGCAGTAAAACTGCGTTCACAAGAGCTTTATGTTCTGCTGTGATCATTCGCTTGGAATAAATAGTTTACTCTCACAGCCACGGCATTTTTAAGTCTTTTTTCACCAGGCTTTTGTCAGTCAAAAATATCTGACAAAAATAAACTGAAAAATTATTTTGGCATACACTTCGACCTGACAAAAAACTATTCAAAAATTGCCTCGACACCCGTTCATAGAACATATTTTTATTATTTTGAGAGACTAACGGACAATATAGTGAAATCAGGAAAAAATTTTGCGCTAGAACGGAATTTTTCTGAATTTGAGATACCTGTTAAAATGATTCTTATATTTTTTTTGTATATGCTAAAATTTGCCGCGATAACGGGAACCATTTTAATAATTTTCTTTGTGACAGTAATATGTTAAGCCTTTTGGCTGACATGGTAGTAAGAGTCTTAATTTTTTTTAATACTTGAAGAAATTTCTCTATTATTGCAGCAAATTTCTAAAATAAAAAATTACATTTACACTCGCATGATTTTATATCAAAATTTCTCAAACCAGCTCAAACTATATATAGCGGTTTCTTTTGTCGAGAAGCCAATAGAATTGGAAATTTTTGTAAAAAGTAAGACAAAAAATTTTATTTTATTTAATAATCAAATTTCAATTTTTCTGAAATGTATTCAGGACAACTAATTTTGAGTCACTTCATTGAATATGGGCTATGAATGTATGGGCTCCAAATAGTCAAGTATACAGTTATGGTTTCTTAGCATATTATTTCATGTATAGCGAAAAGTCTAATCATTATTAGTTGATTCGTTTTCCAGAATAATTTGTACACCATGTAAAATTTGTAATGTTATTACTCTACTTCTTTTAACTGCACATAAAATTGAATATATAAAAGAATTAAATAACACTCCTATCATTTATAATATTTCATAATATAACAAGTATGTACAAACTATAAATTTGAATTTTGCCATTAACACAAGTGCGTGTAAAATAATTTACCACTTCATAATAAACATTCAAATTCAAATTAAAACTCATAACAAACAATATTCATTTTCAATTTTTTACATACAATTCAAACAGAATACGCAAATATTACTCACACATGCTTTACAACAATATTATGTTTAATATGTTGATGCACTTATGTAAATTCACTTAATTTTCAAAATATAAGTGCATCAATTAAACATCCTTTAATATTTTTTTTTTAATTGTATACATACAAGTTTATTTATTGGATTTGTTACTATTATTTTTGTTGCATGCATTTTCAATTAATTTAATAGTTCTTAATTTTGAAATTAAAAAATTTGTATTCAATTCGAAAAAAGGATACAGGATATAAGATGAAATTGATTTCTAATTGAAATAATTTACCAGGAATATGTAAATATATTATGTAGATATGTAAATTTAAATACACAATATTGGTAATTTGTATATACTAAAATAGGCTAAAACAA